AAAAGAACATGTTATAAGGACACAGAGGCAGCTTGAATGGGTTCCATTGGCTAAATCTGGGACATGTAAAGCATCAGTGTAATTAAAGACAGTAATGAATTATGAGCAATTAGAATTAAAAATCATGAGTCCATCTTTATAATAAACACATACATATGTACATAAATGGAGAGAAGGTGGGCTCTTGCTCGCAGGATGACGGTGAGTTCTGGTCGATAAAGGTACAAGGAGGGGTGGTGTTGGAAAAGTCATCACTTAGGAACCATCATAGTGAAGTTTGGTTCAGGCAAGAATGGCTAATGCAAAACTAAGCCCGTTTTGATGAGGATTGGGATATTTGTCTATATTAAAGTTTCTACACAGAGATGCCTAGTAATGGCAGGGGAAATATAGATACTGTCCCGTGGGGCAACCAGACAGTGCCTTACTTGGATGATCAAGTAAGTCTTACCAAGGATGGGCAGATGGACACATCTGTGCCACACACACACAGAGTCACTCATGTTATACCGTGACTGGGCTGCGAAACATCCGCCAAGCCCAACATGCAAATGGTTCTGTTTGAGGAAAGGTGAGGGGCTTGTAGCATTGAAAACTACCAATGTTTCAAAAGACAAAGCATAGCTATGGAGCTGGTTCTAGATTAAAGAAGATTAAAGTGAAATGATTAATACATACAATAAGGGATCCTGGACTTCATTCTGATGCTATACATGACATTACTGAGTTAATTGTAAAATTAGACTAGTGATTGGCTTAGTAGAAGCACTGTGTCAGTGGTTCAGTTTTGAGTCATTATAACTAAGGCTTCTGTCTATATTTCTGTACAAGTCCATATAGACACCCGCCTTCTTTTCAGCTAAAATGCATAGGAGTGGACCATCTGGGAAATATAGCAGGTGGAAGTTTAACTCTTTCAATAACTCATTGTACCTATGTTAATTTTCCTGAAGTTGCTTGCTTTTACCATTCTTAGGAAATTTGCATGGATGTATATTGGAGGAAACGAGCATGATATATACAACTTGCTCTCTAATATTTCAGAAGAGGGAAATATGCATGTACATATAATCAACATGTATGTGTTGTGGGAGGGTATACACCTGCAGAATCCATAGAATGATAAAACCGATAGGGTAAGTGTTAAGCACTGGTTCAGT